TGTGCTGGGCCGTTTGGAGAGGAGGCAGGAAAGGCCCCGTGTGCCGCGCCCTGCCGCCTCCTTTGCCGAGGGAAGTCAGCGGCGTGTGAAGAGAGCCCGTGTTTTACATACATGCAGGCAGCCTCCTCGCCGCCGGGCCAGGTGCAGCTGCGGGCTGGCTACGAGAGCCCCGTGGGCTCTGTGTGTCACGGGAAGGAGCACCGAGGTGGGGCAAGGACAAAAACAAACGAGAGAGAACACACCTCCCTTTGGGAAACGCGGCCCCGGTGTACAGGCTCTGCCCTGGCCTCTGGATCGCGACACCCTCTTGGCACTACAAGAAGGGCCAGCTGCAGCACCTGTGCTCAGACATGCTGCAAAAAACGAAAAAGCCCAGCCAGCATTAAACAAGCTGAGGAGGCTTTCCCCATTTTCTGTCACTATGGAGTATTGCTTTTCTGTTGTCCCATGAAAGCTCTCCCGTCCTGCTCTGTGCTCACCATGCAGTGACAAGGTGACAGTGTCATGCCGTGACTGGGCCTGCCTTGCTCCTGCCCTGTGCTCGGACTGTGAAACACCTTGGGTGTTTGTTGAGGGCTGGCAGTCCTTGAGGCACTATCGTTGTCTGCACCAGTCAGCTGAAAGCTGTCCTGAACCTCTGTGCTGGCCACTGTCCTAGTTTTGACAGCGGCATTGGCATTGCCCAAGTGTGAACATTCAACTTTTTTCCCCCCCCTGCTGTTTCTTTTTCTTGCTCTTCCAGTGATCACAGACATGAAGCCAGGGCTGCATTTGACTCAGCTCAGTAACAACCTGTGGCTCGTGTGGTGGTGGAGTATCCCTCTTTAAAGATAGATGCCAGAATCAACTAATTAATCCTCATTCCCCTGTGGGCCTGGGAGGTGACTCAGTGCCTCGTGCTGCTATGCTGAACAGCAGAGGATCAAAGGCATTGGAGCTGGGGAAGCCCTGGGATAGCACAGTGTCGCTCTGCCTGCACACCAGGCACCTGTAAAGGCTCAATCTTGCACACTTATCTCCAGGACAGTTCTTAGCCATGCAGGGGATTGAAAACTCTGCAACCTTAGAGACAAGGCTGGAGCTGCCATCACCTTGCTCCAGAGGGAGTGTTTTAACTACCTGGTGTTGCCTTTTTACCTCTTCATTACAACCCAACTTGGCCACCCTGAGCAATTCTCCCTCCTGACCTACAGGTCCTTCACTGTACCCACTGTGGATGTGTCTGGGTGAAAGGCAGGGCAGGGAGGCTTAGGCTAGGCACTGCTGAAATTGAGCTGTGGTGGTGATGCACGTCCCTCTTGGGCATTGTGACCCACAGCATGCTGCATGCCAAGCTGTGCCAGCATGCCATGGCAGCCCTGAAGAAGGGCAAACAAACCCCAACACCTGGCCTTGGGCTGCCCTGGCATCCATCATGCTGCTGCAGGAGCTGCTCTTAGGGAAGGGATGGGGAGTTGCTTGCACGCAGATGTTGTGTAATACAGACCTAGTTGAAACACAGGTTTGCAGGCTGGGAAATCCAGGGGGAAGAGAAAGACCCGCTGGGACAAGGGCTGCTGCACTGCATCTTCTGTTCTGTGTTTTAAAGGAGATGAAACATGAAGCATGTGCTTTCTTCAAAACCTGGGTCTTACCCAGGTTGCATGTGGAGCATCACCTGTGAGAGTCCCCCTGAATGTGCATGAGCTGCGGTTTGGCTGAGCTCAGCCTCTGTATGGGACTAATACACAGTGATGCTGTCCTATAAATTATATAGTCAGAATGTTCGCCATCTGCTCTGCACTGAAAGCTGAGTGTGATTGAGATCTTCCCCACTTCCCAAAGCTTGACTCTCTTGCCAGGCTTGAAATGTGTGTATCTCCTGTAAGTGGTTCTGATTGAATCAGGTAAAGAGGGAATTTTTTAAGCAGGCTGCAATGTTCCCAGCACCCGAAGTGAGAGCTAAAGAAGCGGCCAGCATCCCATTATAAGGCTATGAGTAAAACTGAGTCTGATTTCATGTTAATTAGGTTCTAAAGGGACTGAATCTTGATTGTAGTGGTCATATCAAAGATTTAAAATAGTAATGCAAAAAGCAAAGGAAACCCCACAGTGATTCATATAAGAAGGGGAAATAAAGACAGCCATGGAGGAGGAAGGAGTTTGAGGGGGCCTGAATTGCTCTGCTGCCCAAAAGCAGGAGGGGATTTGAATCAGATTATCCTCATTAGATGTCTCTTTAAAGCATCATCAAGGCAGATGAATGGTCTGGGGGAGAGCTTGCAGGCATGGTGGCTGTGATTATCACCAGGGATTTGCAGTCCTAGTTATCTAGCTTAGAGACAAGATTATTAGGGGGTATAAAGCTGTTCCTGCCCTCAGCCTCTAATGTGCATTTTTAGGTTGGGTGATGGGAAACGCTGTGTTGCTGCACAGCCCCTCGGAAGCCTGCCTGCATCCTCTGGTGGTCCAGCCCTTTGCAGGGCTGTGAGTGCGGTGTGGAAGAGAAAGGGACCTTTGCTGGCCAGGAAAACTTCCAGAGGGATGGACAGGCAGCCTTCCCTGGGGACTGTGGCAAAGGGCAACACTTCCATGTAGGTGGTTACCCTGCAATAGGAAATGGGGAGGGGATCTTGGGAGGGGGGATTATATCTTCCTGCCTTACAGAACTGTTTGCTCCCCATAGCATCTCCCTTCTTGTGACAGCCTGTGCCAAAGCAACTCATCCTTCTTCCAGCTAGAGCCTTTGAGGCCTCAAAGGCTCAGAAGTTGGTGGCTGTTACAAGAGGGAATGCCTGCGAGCTGAGAGGAGGTTCTTCCCTTGAAACAGAATCAATAGACATTGCCCACAGGTTCCTTGGAGTTCGTCCTCAGGGATGGTGAATATGGCACAAGGCTGCTGGCAGTCACTCTCCACCTCCTCAGCCCTGCAGCTGCAGCAGCTCCTCATACTCCCCTTTATCTCCTTCTCTACTCTGTGTGTTGCACTCCTGTTTCTTCTCTGGGCTTTGGCAGGATGGCCAAGGCATTGTGCCCAGATGCCAGCCAGGAGAGGATGTGCACAGGCCAAATTCACCTGTCAGTTCTCTTCTAACACTGCATCCTTAACACACTCATGGAAATTCATAACATTGCTCTGCACTCAAGCCTGTGCAAGTAAAAGCACTCTGGCCTTTTTACACCAGGCTGGACCTAAAGGTCTATGAGAAGCCAGAGGATGTTGGCTTCTCTTGATGGAGGTTCTGGGGCAAGTGTGGCTTTGATTTTTGGCTCTGGAGTCATCTGCTGGAGATTCATGCCTTGAGAGTGCAGTGATGGGGCTTCCCACTGAGTACTGGGAAGATTTTTGCCCTAGCCTCAAGGATGCCTGATCTGGCTGAACCCTCTGTTCAGAGGTTTTTCCTGTGGCAGCACATCACCCTCAGCCACTGGTTTCTGTTTTGGCGCTGGAGATGTTGCCTGGCCCTGGCCCTGACACGGCACGTGAACACTCCCTGTGAACAGCCACAGGCAAAACTGGGGGGGCAC